CCTCTTACTGGTGACTAACAGAGAACAGCACATGGAAAACAACCATCAGATCAGTGTGTGCGTCCCCCTGCAGACAGAGGAGCCCTTTGATGCAGCACCGGCTGGTTAATGGAGTTTTGAAACCCCAGCGCAAGGATCCCCTCACCCTAACGAGGCTATTTGCACATTCGCTTTGCTTTCTGCTCCCTCCCCCTGTTCCTTCTTCCCCCTCAAACGGGCCTCCGGGCTTTCTCTTCCCTTTTCATGCTCTGCAGCAGCCCCATTCCCGTCCTCCCCCACCTGGCTCCCTGGGGAAGAGGCCTGGAAAAAGCAAAACAAAAGAATCACTCACTGGGAAACGGTAACTGGCACAGGCCTCCCTTGCTCAAACACTCCTGCCGAGAGGGGCCGGCACAGCAAAGCCACCCTCTGGTGCGAAGTGAGGCCTGAACACCAGGGAGAACCGCAGGGTGGGAGCGAAGGCTTTGGAGACAGCCTCAAACCATTGGAGGCTCCAAGTGTGCTTTGAGGGAAGCCCCAAGGCAACCGGGTCCCAACCTCCGGGGCACAACGGGCTCTCAGTCTGCTCCGCACTGCTCAGGCTCTTGCAGAGATTCATCTATACCAGCTAAAAATACCACCTGGAGCTGCTGTTTGTACAGTTTCTCCCTGTGACATTAGCAACGTTCCCATAGAGTTGGAAATGTTATCTACTGCGTGTGTGGCTCTGGAATAAGCTGAGCAATCGACACATTTTCTACTGTCTTTAGAAAATGTTCCTGCTGCTGACTCCAAGCTGTGTGGGGTACTTGACACACCAAGGGAAGGGATGGGATCCAGAGGGACCCTGACAGGCCGGAGAGGTGGGACCATGAGAACTTCATGGAGGCCAAGTGCAAGGTCCTGCCCCTGGGTCAGGGCAATCCCAAGCACAAATACAGAGACTGGATGGAGCAGCCCTGAGAAGAACTTGGGGGTGTTGGGTGAGGAGAAGCTCCCCATGACCCGGCTTCAGTGTGCGCTTGAGCCCAGAACCCCCCCGTGTGCTGGGTGCACCCCCAGAGCGTGAGCAGCAGCTCAGGGAGGGGATCCTGCCCCTCTGCTGTGCTCTGGGGGGACCCCCCCTGAAGCCCTCATCCAGCCCTACGGAACA